AGAGGCCCCTGTGGCCGGGCAGGAAAGAAATATCTGGAAGCCCAGGCAGCCCAGCCTCAGTCAGGGAGCAGCAGAGAGTGAGAGGCCCCTGCAAAGGGGTTGACGTGAGGAGCACGTTTTAAAGGAACCATTAGCACGAGGGCTCAGGAACCACAGGGACACTGGAAAGCTGTCACCCCCAGGCCCACGGGCCGAGTGCGGGGCCCAGCACTGAGACCTGGCTCTCCCAAAACCACGCGTGGCGGTCTCCTACGTGGAGGGCCGCTCCCTCTTCGCCAGCACCCGCTGGCCGCCAGCCCCAGGCACGAGGCCGGGACTCTGCCATGAGAGTGAGAAACCCAAAGGGGCCATGAGCTGTGACCATCCAGCCATGCTGATCACCCGCGTGGCCGCCGGCGGAGGAGCCCAGTCAGCACGCGCTCGCTGGGTTTCCTCGCCCGCCAGCCCCAGGGAGAAGGGGGAGGTCCAGCCTTGGCTACACCGCCAGGGGCCGGGAGGCCCTGTAAGCTGGGGCATCTCTCAGGCCCAGAGCACCACACTCCCCCCACAATCTTCCTGGGCCGGGCGTCTAACCAGAGGAACGCTGTCCAGGCCAGAGAAGGGGAGGGTGGATGAGTACGAGCCCTGCAGGCTGTCTGATACCAATGAGGGAGAGAAAGGACGATGGAGGAGGCGAAGACCAGGGGCAGGAAGGCATGGCCCGCTCCCCTCCCTGCCGTCTGGCGGGGGCCCCTCTTGGCAGACCAGCTCTGACGCCCCAAGGTTGGGCCCAGCTGGGCAGCTGTGGTGTGACTGGGAAGGGGTGGCTGTCACAGGGGGCCTGTGCCCAGGTGAGCCCGCGGCTATGTCCGAGGGCGCCGGCGCTGGGCTCATCCTGGAGCAGGTCGGCTTCAGGCTAACCCAGGCCTGTGCCCAGGCTCTTCCGGGAGAAAGGAGCTGGGGGAAGGGAAGGGTGACCACCGCCATGAAACTACTCAGCAGGATGCCGCCCGACCCGTGCAATTCCCTCTGGTTTCCCCACCCCTCCCGTGTGCTCTGCAGGCACCATCACGGTTCACCTACAGAAAGACAGCCTGGGCCACCTCAGCCTGGTCGCCACCCCCCTGCAGGAGGACCAGGAATCCTTCCAGGTCTCCGCGGGGCCGGCGGTGGCGATATGGCAGAAGCTCCAGCAGACCACAGGCGACGGTGGCAGCGCGGGGCCCCTCGCCCAGTGGCAGCATGCCCGGCTGGCACACGCGCTCCCGGAGAGGTGAGGCCACTTGGGGGAGACAGAG